GAGGCATCCCTATCACTCAAAAGACAATGTGACAACTCTTGACTGGTAATATAGTCAGTTCCACTGTTCAAGGCTTTCCCCACCACAAAGACAAGGTTCCCTCTTCCTGTCTCTATTAAATTAATGTCATCCACCCTTCATTAATACACACCAATGAACCCTTCTACTTGATCACCACTCTTCCAACTGCCAAGAAAGAGACATTGCTTGAATTGTTAGTTTCAATAGGGATATGCCCTGCAGTTCATGTTTGCCAAGGGCAATGCCCTTTTCATCTTTGCATCCAAGTTCTTCAGCAGTAACAAATGTTTAATGCAAAAGGAGTTACAAAGATCCTCAATTATCTAGATAGGATAATCGCGTACACTGTTTTTTACTGCTCCACAGATATGTCAAAAGAGCTATTACATTTTTCTCAAGGCAAAATCAAAGTAGAACTTAACTTCCCACATCATACTAAGTGAATCAATACTCAATCATACAAAGTCAACAACTGAGCTTGTACAAGATGACTAATCAAAACAAAAAACTATGATCGCTTATCAAAGAATTTAATGAGTTCTTCAAATATAAAAACGACATAGAATGATATTTAACCAGCCATGGTCAAGACCACATTCTGGAATCACCAAATCTGCAACGTTTAATGGTTCTCTATGCCGCTTGGACTTGCCGTATATCTGAAATTTCAAAAAAAAAAAAAACTCATGAACAAGCCAGGCTAGGAAAAGTAGTTGCAAATTTAGACAAAGCAATGGCGTCATAAGCATCACCGAAGGGCCCAACATTAGGCAGTACATGAGAAAGCAGTAGGGCTACATTTTAGCAAAAGTTCAGCACATGACGAAGCTTTTCATAGGTAGAAAAACTTTCAGGATTCACCTAATTTACTTTCAAGCTAAAACAAATTCACATTCAGGTCAATAATTTTTTACAGCACAACTAGCTTTGTCATTTATCCAGTCACAAAACTTCAGGTGCATTTTTTATCAGCTAGAAGTTTGCCGGAAGCTTGTAAAGTTGAAATATCATAGTGCTTCACTTTCAATACTGTCATCAATTGGGATATTATTTCCGTTTCTCAGATTACCAAATAAGATAAAGCCAGCAACCTTTACTTAGCATATTAACTGAAAAGAGAAAAAGAATGAAAGAGTCTGAAAGATCTAAGTGAACTTGAATCTGATCAGTCACAATGTTAAACAAGAATTTTTTCTTATGCAGAGACAATCTGTCGTAGACTTGAAGGAGGCATAAGGTTACCATAATTACCAAGATATCTAAAATGCCCAATGAAAAGGGTTCTTCATGTTGTTCTAAAATATGTAAACCGTTGCACTACAAGCACATGAAGCATGAAATTGGCCATCTTCCTATTAACAGATGTTTACAGATAAATGTACAATCCTCCATACTTTTCATGAATTTCATCTTATTTCTTAGGTATTATTCTCATAGCTGGGGCATCAAAGTCCATTTCAGAGGCTTCAACTCCATGTAATGATATAATTGATGGAATGCTATGCATTCCTACCTAAGTCTTAGAAATAAAGGTCTTCACTTTTGCAAAGTTAACATGGGGCAACCATGTGATAAATGAGTTTTAACTTTACTGAAAACTCTCAAGAACACAGAAATCAGCATATGGAACTGCACTGCTGTCGATTAGTTAACACTACATGAAATCTAAGAATCACCAATTCCTAAGGAATACTAGTGTCAAATGTAGTTATCGGTCAAGTACCAGATACAAAACAAAGTTGTCACCAAGTATATGAATTCATCCAGATGAAGGGCCATAGTTCAACTAAGAAAATCTTCTCCTATAATACAAGAAGTTTACTGCAGATCAAACTTCACTCAACTTTCACATCCACATATCTTAACTGCTCATTCCACCACAGTGTTAACTCAAACCACAAAGTGCAGGATTTGTTTGGTGGTATTAGATCACAAAAAGAAGAAGGATTTGAATTGTGCCCTAATCAAAGTACCATCCATATCCAGCCAATAGATATATCTCAGAAAGACGATTGCTGCAGTTCATTCACTACTAATGACCAAAAAGTTAAAGAGCTACACTTTTGATAATAAGAATGTCCCTAATCAGCATTTTTAATCTACTATTAGTACCTTAAAATTTGCACTTTCGAGTATTGAAGGGTTACATTTATCATACTAAAAGATGCCCATAATCAGCACGAATATCAATTACGCATAAAAAAGAATTTCAGCATAACTGGTTAGGCTCAAATTTATGCATTTCTTCTTAGCTGTATCATCATCCTAATGGGAAATTACACTCAGTTAAAGCATAACAGATCAAAAAACAATTTATACACAAAAAGTCACCATCATCATCTAATCTAAAGTACAGCATATGAAAGAAAATTCCGTTAAACTTAAACAAGCCCTCCCTCACCATGAGCGTACTTTTTTTTCCCTTTTTCTTCAAGGTGCTTAATTGCAATTGTAATCGATAGTTAAGCCCTTCAAAACCGAAGTTAAAGTCATTGTCTTGTAACATTAGATCATCTTTTACATGAATTTTCACTATTCTACTAAAATTGAACAACGTTTCTCTTTTGTATTTCAATTCAGAAGGAAAATTCAACAGAAAATCTAGGCGACCGTTTATCAGTATATTTAAACACATAAGTTTGCATAGAAATCAGACAAAATGTAGAAATACTGAACGAACAGATACTTAAAAAAAAAGTGTGGAATATGGATGCACAGGAAAATCATAGACCAAATAGATAGTACACAAATTGCCTTCGGATTTGCTAAAAAATCAATCTTTAACCAAAAGGGCCTCTCCAAAAATCGTCAGAAATGAAAAATAATTACCTCAACAAATCAAAATCCAATCAATTTGAGGAGGAAAAAACAGAGGAAACCAAAGAAGACTATCAAGAAAAGGTAATCTACAAAGACGAAGAACTTTGTTGATCCATGATTTCTCTTCACATTCTTTGTCTGCTTCTGCTTTGTGGGTTCCTGATACTCTTCAATCTTTGCCATCTTCTCAAGGTCTAAAGATCTGCCGCGGATTGAAGGATTTCTCTAAGCGTTTGTTGGAGCTTTGTTTTGTGAGCATGCCCACTGATAGGCAGTCACGTGACTTGCATGTGTTTGGAATTTGTGCGAATTGTATTTTTTTTTAAAATATTCGTTTCTGCTTTCTGGAAAAAAAATTTTTTTTGGGTGAAGTCTTTCTGGAACATTATTATGAATTATGTTTTGAAAAGGAAGAAATATTTAAGCTGTGCAATTAAGGATTAAGAACCAAGTCCTTGATACATAATTTGGCCAACTTTTTGATGTGACAATGATAATTTTTTTCCCTTATTGGATATGATTTACACTGTTGAGTTCATTTGGCATCAGAATGTCACATATATACGGGAAAGGCAAAAGATGATTCGTTTGGCATTTCAAATTTGTTTTACTTATTGAGTAGAGTGAATTTTTTTTTTTTTTTTTTAAGAGTGAAACTCTTACCTAGTCTAATAAAAAAATTAAAAATTATCAATCCCTTTAGAGAACAATTCTTTCAATTTTTATATCCAATCACTGAATGTCACATGGTTCAACAACGGTGCCAATCTACATATTAAATAATTGAAATTACTGTAATTTAAGTTTTTTTTTTTTTTGGTAAGTGGAAGTTTGGGAGATCTCGAACTTAAAATCTTGATACATTTGTCCATCTTTTGGGCCTCACTATCTGACCTGCATGAATCAATTTTAACTTTAGGGCCCTCAAAATCTTTTAGCCCTTTTTTTGAGCCCTTAAATGTGTTAGAAATAGCTAATATGTAACAAAATAGAAAAAACTTTTGTGCTTATTTTAGTAGTACAAGAATAATTATGTTCTACATTTGTTAGAACCCAACCCTCCTCCTCTTTGGAGTCTATGCTTTTTTAATTGAATTAAGGAAAAGGTGACACACACAAAAAAAAAAAAAAACTTATTTGGTAGAAAGCCAGTTAGCAAGTGTTTTGGCTTTTATGGAGATAGTATTCATGATAATAAAATTATTAGGCTGTACATACACAATAAAATAAAATAAAATAAAATAAAGTTTGGTCGGTTAATTAGATGTATGTTAACTTTCTTTTCTTGTTTCCTAAGGAAACCAAATTGAAATTATTCAATAATAACCAAATAAAAAACCGAACCAATCAGATTATTTTTAATATTGGAACAAATATCCAATGCTCCAACAGGCTTCATAATCCACTGGCTTATAATTATAAACAACTCAAAGGGTCTTTAATTACATAGATTTCATATTGTATTCCAAGTCCAATACACAAATATGGGATAAGGATATTAATAAAACTTGTGAGGTAGTCTAATCTTCTTCTCCCACTGGATTTCGGAGATCAAGTAAAATTTGATCCCTAATGGGATTGGATCAGGTTTTGAAGTGGACATGTATATAAATAACACAGGTTTTGAAGGTCAATTAATGCATAATAAGCAATTTTTACGTACACCTTTCCCTTTTTTCCCACTGAAAAGAAAAACCCTATTCCCTTAACCTGAGATGGCAAAAGCTAAAGTGTATAAAAAGCCACTAGAGAAGCTGAGCAGAGCAAGAACAATGTCACAAGGAAGAAGAAAAGTGCTCAAGGATTTGTCCCTGTGCATGTCGGAGAAGAATGCAAGAAGTACATGATACCAGTTTCATGTTTGTCTTCCATAATGTTCAAGGCTTTGCTCAATCAATTTGAGGAAGAAAACCAGTTATCTTTACGTCTTTCTTGCTCCATTTGGATGCTCGAAGCCATACTCAATCTTGCAAAAGCCGAGACAGAAGGCAGTGATGAAGATTAATTTGATTTCTTGATGAAGATTGTTCGTTCAACAGATGAGAAGATAATTAATTAGTGGAAAGACTTGACAATTTTCCATGAGGTATGTATATATATCATGATGTTCAAGAAGACAAAAAAGGGGAAAAAAAAAAGATGCTGCTGAAGAAGATGCGTGTCCAAAATTGCCTTGCATGTAATTAACATATTTTACACCTTTAATAACATTCAGGGATACTGCAATTAGATTTTTATCCTGAATTTCTTGAATGGAAGTCTATCTTGTTCGAATAGTTAGGATTACATCTCCAACATTATTCTGCACTCCTTCAAAATCATCTGGTATAAGAAACGAGTCAAACTCAAGAAAATTTTCCTGCCACTACTCTATGTTGAATATTTAACATGGTTTTTCTGGTATTTTAATAAGAAGAAGCAGGGCAAAAAAAATAAATAAAAGATTACAAATTTATATATACTGCATCCTCATGGCGTATCCAAGTAGCATGACCTTAGAAACAAACCCTTCTGCAACAGCGCCAGGCCAACCAGGGAGAAAACCGCTCTAGAGTACAGGAAAAAGAGAATGTAGAATTCTAAGAAAATGGGAAGAAGAAGAATAGACAGATTCTTGCTGTCCAAAGAAAAGGCATACAGATGTATAGCTATAGCATAATTTTTTCCATTAACTGAGCAATCTTTCAGCTGAAAGAAAAAGAATGTGCTTTTGACCCAGACTTTTTTCAATTCCCAGCATCACATGACGGAATACAATTTATTTGCCAATACTCCTACCAAATGAAAGAAGGGAAGAATATCATCGCGTATAACCGAAGGATGGGCACTAAAGTAAACATTTTAGAAGACTAGTGATAGAAAGGCCTCACAATATGAGTTAGTTCACGTATTGACATTTTCTTTCAACAAAGAAATGAAAGCATATTCAGTAGTCCATTCTCATTATTTAAACTTCAAGGCTAGTATTTGCACTTTACCTTGAGTTTGCTTGATGCTTAGCTAGAGTCATCTTCTGCTGCTTCAGACAACCGTGCTTCTGATTTCTCATTCGAGAACCTTCAAAATTACATATAAAGTTGTATGAAGGTGATTCTCAAAGAAAGCATTTTGAAGAACTTTCAGTTCTGCAGGGTAGAAGAGTTTGCAGATCAAATACTTTTTGCAAGAACTCTTGCAGAAGAACAAATATAGCAAAAGACAATATGTCAAATTTTAAAACTCAACACCCTTCAACATATGAAACGCAGATGGGACCTAACTATTACTCATATGCATTACTATGAATAAACGTTATTAGGTAACAGATCCTGCTTAAGGAAAAACGGCACCATATGAGCATGCAAATGCACCTTCCAAACTTTTTGAACTAAAAGGCCACAACACACTTGTCTGAATTCAACTATGTCTTTATCAACACTGAATATTTTCACGGACATGACCATAGCCATTTTAGATGTCTTTGTCCTTGCATGATAATCAAGCCAACAACCGCTCAAAAGCTCAGGCTTTCACGTAAAGAATTGTATGTATAGCAGTCAACATTTTTCCCATCAATGCTCACTTTGGATGCTCAAAGCACTAAGGGAAAACCAGGGGCAGTTAAAAAAAAATAGAATAACATTAAAGAAAAACAAAATTCTGGCAAGAGTGAAGCACAAGAAGAATTTCAAACTGCACAAGCAAGATTCCAAAGTCAGAAATAGCTAAACTTTCTTTCTTTCAGATGATACTTGTAACAAAATTTGGGGGATGCAGTACTGGAGTGTGGCTGTGTGTGATGAACTTCTGCACAATATATACTTACCCTGAGAGTATGGTGACCCAAATAAGTTCCATACAGTCCACCCAAAGAAGTCTTTGCTCTACTGGAATCACGCCATAGGTGATTACATGAGCAAACGGCCAAAGCTTCCATCCTGCCTGTCATGGAGATGAAGACAGTTCATTATTCTTCCCCATAACATCCAGATGAACACAATTTGTGTCAAATGCAGTATTTCTCAGAGACTGTACAAGTACAAACTGACGACTTTTCATTTCAACACTTCAACCTAACAGTGTATGTCTAACAAGTTAGCACATCAGCAACAGTCTAGAACTGAATTGGGCTACTAGTTAGAATTGTGGAAACCAGGTTCTATAATGTGAGAAATTCAGCAACCTAGAGTATATACCAAAACTGGGACTTCTTGAACTTTGCAGATCAAAAGCCATAACAATTATCATAATAAACACGCACAAATTTAGGATACATCGGACAAAGAAATGTCTTCCAATATACTCTGGGAGAATCTTGCTTCAGATAATCATTTGAAGATCACTGAAATACTAATTTTGACAATGCAGTGACCATAATTGCCTTTACTGCATAGATTTACCATTCATCTGACAATTGACATATGTAATTGAGCCTGAGAACTGACGATTTAAATCTTAAGGGAATGCAACATTGAGAGTGCAAGCGGCCTTTGACATGTCCTATACTAAATGACCAAAAGTTAGGAAGGCGGGACATAATCTTGCATGATGACTCCAATTCTCAACTTGATTAGAGAGATCATTAAAACGGGCCACATACTGGAACTTAACAAAATGGACTTCAAGTAACAAATAAGTTCGTTTGACGGAGTACTTACAGTTAACATAGGCCAAAATGTTGACTTCAGTTCATCGAATATACTAGCCGAGGACTCAGAGCGCAAAAACCCCAGAACCACATAGTAGATGCTGTTCCAAACTGCAGACCAGACAGTTTGGTCAACTACTACTTTGGCAGGGACAACCCACCAATCATTGAAAGGAAAAAGAGCCTGCACGTGGAAGTAATAAAAGCATTTGCAGCTACTCAAAAATTTTATATATCAATGGCAACAAGAAAATATATAAGCCACAAATCTCACCTCACAAAATTGGTAATAGTAGTGAGAAAGCGATCCATGAAGGGTGAAACCAACAAGACCTGATCTAAATATCCTCTGTCGGTCAAACTTGAAAAGCGGTTTCCCTTCATAACACTGCATCAGGGCCATATTAGTATGCAAAAAGCAAGGCAAAGCTGAAACAGAAAGTAAAGAAAATACTAGAATTGACAATTAAAATCACACCATACTTGTGCAATCCAATCTCCTACAGAGTAGACAATCCCACTAATCGTCATTTTAGCCAGAACAGGATTGGATTTAAGAGCTTCTTCATATGCAATCCAATTGTGCCCAGGGGCATACTTCAACACTTCATAAAGGGTCCATCCCTGATCAAATTAATCAAGATATTTCAACTCCAATATACAGAACCACTGCAATCACTTGAAAATTCAATCTTGATCCTGCATCTTTCCCTTTTCACTTCATCAATTTGTACAACAAATGAGCAACATATATGAAAATACGGAACTTATGACTATCCCATCAAAAATATCAACAAATAAACTAATTGGATATGCTAAACAGCCATCAGAACAGAAAAATCACACAAATTAAGCATTAAAACACAATAAGCAGCCCGAGAGAGAGAGAGAGAAGAATTCTAGAGAACCCACGTGCCAATATTCATGATCAATGGAGAGCAACTTGGTAATGGCAAGAGTACCAGCTCCAAGTACAATAGCAGCATTCAGCAACCTTTCTTTATCCTCCAGTAGAGTAGATAGTATCCTGCCCTTTTCCTTCACTCCTCCACCACTAATTGCTTTATCCTCACCATTCTTTTCACTAGTTTCAGCTGCGACCAAGTCTTTTTCCTCTTTCGTCACAACTTTGACGGGCACAAGGCATAATTGATGTCTACTGGTTTTAGACGAAAATTTTGTATTAAAGTTCAGACTTTTATTCGTGAATATGGCTTTCTTGGCGTCTGAACTTAACGGTTTTGTGGAATTCGATGATGAGAGGATCTGGAAATGGTTGATGGCCTTTAAACAAGCCATGATCGGTTTGTGAGTTAAATTCTTAGGATTTGGAAAAGAGAGATCAGAGTTTAGAAAGCAGCTAAAATGGGATGGGGGGTTCTGGGCTTTTGAAAGAACAAGTAAGATATGAAGAAAGCGTGCCGTACTAGAGCGTTGACAATTGAACCCCACATGTTTAATTGTGGCGTAGCTTAACACGCTTTTGAATTGCAGCCACAACTCGCTAGTAAAATCACAAATCTCATATGGTATGGTAATTGGTAAGAACTAAGAAGAAGAAAGTTGGACTGTAACGAGTGAAAGTTGATACTATTTAAGATGATAAATCCTTTTGTTCCTTAAAAAAAAAAAGATGATAAATCTTTGTAAATTGAGAACCATGCATTGATCAAGCAGTAAGAAATTCTCAACAATCATAAATTGTCATAAATAGTGAATTTGATTCCTTAACATCTTAAAAGTTGACACACGTTCATCCTAAAAACAATTCAGCCAGTCTATCTTGATGGTTGGCATATTTTTGTTCTCAAAAATAATTCAACTACACCGTTTGGATTGAGGGAGTAGGAGGGAAAGGAAAGGAAAGAAAAGGAATTGGAAGGATTTAATCTTTGTTATTTGAATTAAGGAGAGAAAGGAAAAAATAGGGAGGGAAAGAGGGAAGAGTCTAATTGTTTTATTGAATTATAATTTTGTTCAAAAATAGATCGTAACCGAGAGAAATAAAATAAAATTAATTGAAATAATTTAATTTTTTTAAAAAATATCATTTTTCTCTATCTTTTTCAATAAATTAATACTTTAATCTTTTTCTTTCATTTTTTTTTCCTTCTTCCATCTAAATAAAGATTCAATATTTTCTTTTTTTTCCTTTCATACTTAGACCATACAAGTGGACAGAAGACACTTTCCTCTGTTCTCTTTTCCATTTTTTTATTCCATTGCTATCCTCTCTCTTCCTTTCCTTCAATTAAAAAGGTGCATTAGCTTCTTTGAAAATCACTCTGATCAAACAAGCTAGTCAGATCTAGGGATACAAATTACTCGAGTCGAATCGAGTTTCGATCTAATCAAATCGAGTTTCAACATAATTTTATGAAGTTCAAACTCGAGTTCGAACTTAAAAAAGTATAAAAAATAAATATTTTTATTTTTTAAAAATAAAATAAAATAATAATTTTTTAAATAAATAATAAAATAATAAAAATATATATAATTTTATTAAATAAAAATTATATATATATATAATCGAGATTAAGCCAACTTTTGAGTTAAAAAATTTAATATTTTTGAGTTCGAATTCGATTTATCTTTTTTCTTTTGTCAGCAACGATACATTTGTATAACCTGCTTTATCCTAATCTAGGGGGAGAGGGAGCCTAAGGAGGCTGTTGTAGGGGTTAATGGGTATACAGACCCAACTAGACCAAGGGAGTCTTATGGCACAACCCTTAGATTTTTTTTCATTGCTGATGAGATTTGAACCCTCACCAACAGCTCAAGGAGGGACCTGGTGGGCACTCAGTGGTTGAATTCGACTTATCAACTCCATCTCAAGTTCATGCCACTCGGGAGCAAATGGATTCATTTGCAGCTCTAGTTAAGCCTGTCAACGGGCCAGGTCCGAGCCGAAATTCATTATTTCGGACTCGGACCGGCATACCAAATCGGATATGGATTCGACCCGTTTACCCAACGGGTCTTCTACTCTATGTTTCGGATCCGGGTCCGGGTCTACCCGAAAAAAATTATGAAAATTTACAATTTCTAATAAAAATGAGAAAAAAATATATTCGTACACTAATTTCTAACTAATACAAAAAAAAACCAAATAAGAAAATAAATCAAATTGATTTTACTCAAATCGCCCTAATCAAATTATATTGATAAATATACATATTTTAAATTATTAATCCATTTATATCCGGATCCGGGTCTAATACGGATCGGAATATTATATTCCGTATCCGATCCATTTTTTTTGTTTGACAAAACGGTTCCGGATCCGGATAATGGAATTAAATCCCTACCCATACCCGCAATAATTTCACGGATCCGAGTCGGGTCCGGGTCTAGATCTGAACCGTTGACAGGCCTAGCTCTAGTCATATCATCATAAGTAGGGATAGCAACCGGGCGGGGTTGGGGCAGGGGACCCTTCCCCCATCCCTCGCCCCGCTGCCTACAAACTCCCCTCATCCCCCATCCCCCGCTCCCCTCGCCGCGCTTCCCTCACGGGTGCCCCCACGGGGCTAATAGGCTAATAAAAATTTGTTATATAATTTTATTATGATTAAATTTTAGCAAATAATCAAGTACTAAAATATCAACACATCATCAAATTATTATTCATTGTAATTTTACAATTGAAACTTATAAAAACAATTAAACAAAAATTATTTGAATACAATCCAACATGATGAAATAAATATAACAAAAGTAGTCAAGTTTTCATTTTTTGCACAAATACAATCACTAATTCATTATTGTGCTTGTACTTTTTTTAAGAAAAGAATGTTATTGTATTAAGTGTAATTAGATATTTAATATAAATATATTAGTAAATTTAGTATAACCAATTAATAATTTGTATTAGTACACATATATAATTATTAGTATAATTAATAATATCAATTATATTAGATACACTAATAGACATTATATAATACATATAACTAATAATATTATTATCATAAGTTTGTAACTAATTAAATTATATATTATATATATAATTATATACATATATATTTTATATATTTATTTTTTTAAAGCGGATGGTGGGACCGGAGATGGGACGGGGTACACTCCCCCGCCCCCGGCCCACTCCCGCCCCATTAGCTCCGGCGAGGCGGGTGGCCGCCTCCCTAATCGTAAGGAAGAAATTCGACTTTCATTTGCCATAGCCTCAGCTCTTAAAACCGTTATTCTAAATAGCACTGGCAACGGTAATGACGTCCGCTTCCCGTATCACTTTTTCCAATGCTTCGTGAGAGAGGAAAAATAGTTTGGGAAGATTATACTGCATTTCCTTGCTGTTACTGAAGCTCATAATCATGCGCCACAATCTTCTTCTTTGCCTCTCCACCCAACAAATCAAGCCACTGATGAGAAAAACCCTCAATAAACCCCTTCTTACCTTCACACCATCTCTTATACCCCAACACCACCACTACTCCAATGCCAAACCCCCTTCTCCCGTACCAAAACCCAATAACCCATCTGCAAAATCACATTTTATCTCAAATCCCAAGTGGGTTTTCACGAATACCTCTCCTCTCCCACCGCCTGAATGGGTTCAACCCTTTACTGATCTCTCAGACCTGATTAAAGACCCCAGAAACCTCCAGCCTTCCCCATGGGTCCCTCAAATTCTCAATCTTTTAGATGGTTCACCAGCCATGGAGCAGAATTTATCCACTTATTGCCACAAGTTCTTGATCAAATTGTCACCAAATTTTATTGCTTTCTTGCTAAAATCTGAGAAGCTTGCTGAGCAGAGTGTCAAAGATACCGCCTTTCGGCTTTTTGTCTGGGCTGGTAAGCAAACAGGCTATGCTCACACTCTTGATTGTTATGTTTCTTTGATTGAAGTTTTGTCTGTTTCAAGTGACTTTGATAGAATAAGTTGTATTTTTGGTGAATTGAAAGATAAGAGCTTTTTGATAAATGTGAATGCTGCTAATTCTTTGATTAGGAGTTTTGGGAATCTAGGATTGGTTGAGGAGTTGTTGTGGGTGTGGACGAAAATGAAAGAGAGTGGTGTTGAGCCTAGTTTGTATTCTTATAATTTTCTGATCAATGGGTTGGTGAATGCCATGTTTATTGAGTCAGCCGAACGGGTTTTTGAGGTTATGGAAGGTGGGAAGATTTTGCCAGACATTGTTACATATAATACGATGATTAAGGGGTATTGTAAATCAGGGAAGGTTGTGAAAGCCATAGAGAAGTTTAGAGAAATGGAGGTGCAAAATGTGGAACCAGATAAGATCACGTATATGACCTTGATTCAGGCATATTACTCAGAGGGGGATTTCAATTCTTCTTTAGGACTTTATCATGAAATGGAGGAGAAAGAATTGGAGGTTCCACCCCATGCCTATAGCTTAGTTATAGGAGGACTTTGTAAAGATGGAAAATCTTTTGAAGCATATGCTGTTTTCGAGAATATGTGTCGTAGAGGATCTAAACCTAATGTGGCTATTTATACTGCTTTAATTGATTCATATGTTAAGAATGGGAACCTTGAAGGAGCAATGAAGATTTTTGACAGTATGAAGCATGAGGGTTTTGAACCAGATGAAGTTACATATGGAGTCATTGTTAATGGTTTATGCAAGAATGGTAGGTTAGTTGAAGCCATGCAATGGTTCGAATATTGTGAAAGTAATAATGTCCCTATTAATGCTGTGCTTTACTCGAGTCTCATTGATGGCCTTGGAAAGGCAGGGAGAGTAGCAGAGGCTGAGAAGCTGTTTCATGAGATGGTTGAGAAGGGATGTCCTCAGGATTCTTATTGTTATAATGTGCTTATTGATGCCTTGGCTAAAACTGGGAAAGTTGATGAAGCTTTGGTATATTTTAAGAGAATGGGAGATGAAGGTTGTAATCCAACAGTCTATACGTACACAATTTTAATAACTGGCTTGTTCAAAGAGCATCGCAATGAAGAGGCCTTAAAGTTATGGGATGCAATGATTGATAAGGGCATAACTCCAACCGCTGCTTCTTTTAGAGCTCTTTCAACTGGGCTTTGTCTTTCTGGTAAAGTTGCAAGAGCTTGTAAGATTTTGGATGATTTGGCACCAATGGGTGTTGTCCTGGAGACAGCTGTTGAAGAAATGATTAATGTTCTATGCAAAGCAGGTCGTATAGAACAAGCTTGCAAGTTAGCCGATGGGGTAGTTGATCGTGGTCGGGAAGTTCCGGGTAGGGTTCGCACTATTTTAATCAATGCCTTGAGAAAGGCAGGAAATGCAGACTTGGCAATGAAATTGATGCATAGTAAGATTGGTATAGGTTATGATAGAATGGGAAGCATTAAACGACGAGTAAAGTTTCGGATTCTGGTTGAAGATTGATTCTTGGGTTGTGGCAAACTTTGTATGAAATGAAGTGTGGGTTCTTCACTGGCTACAA